GAAAGGAAGTTGGATTTCATTTCGAAACAAAGTAGGAAATAGTTTTTTCAAGTACACGAAATTAGGATGTCCTAAACGGTAATGTCATAACATGATAGGGCATTCCATATTTAAGTTGTTTACAGATTCAGAATTAGTACATACTGCATGATGAGTTTGTCTATTAAGAAAAGAGTTGTCAACTTGCAGTAGATACTTTACCTGAATCCATACTAGCATTGCCAATTGTCTTCCCCGAGTCCAAGTCCTAAAATTCACACAGTTCAGAGTTAAATGTAGCTACACAATTCAAGTCCAGTGATAATTTACTTACTGACAGGAGATTTCAATTCAAATTTGGAACATATAGCACAGAGTACAAAATTAACTTGGGTGCCAGTACAATTATTCTTGTTCCTTCAACCTGGGAGCTAGAGCCATCAACAATTTTAACTGAGAATTTATTTCTGCACTTACTATATTCCTTGAATAATGAGATATCCCCAATCATATGATCGGAAGCACCTGAGTCAATATCTCATATTCCCCTTTTTGTGGAATAAGTTGAGAAACCAGAAAAATTACCTTTGTGAGTTGTAGAAGCATTACTAAGAACCATATTGGGTGAAAACAATTTTTGGAGGAGGTTGATTTGTTCAGAACTAAATAAGGGGCTTCCAGTAGAAACGGCTGCAGTGGATCCCTCCTCTGTTGAGATAAAATTACCCCGATGAATTTCCTCCATTTCCTGCTTTCGTGTTTTCTTCTTCTCAGCCGATTCCTTCTCAGCGGGTTTCCCGTGAGTTACCAGCATCTTCCACGAACGTGTCCCGGCTTTTTACAGTATTCACACCATGGCCGTCCCTTTCACTCAGTCACTTGACTTGTGAGAACAGTATCAGTCTCGGGTGAAAGAGATATGCTTTCAGCAGGGTTAGGGTTGAGTTGCGAGTCACCCATCATCACTTTCTTCCTGCTTTCTTCGGGTCACACCTCCAAGAACACCTTTCTGATGTTTGGGAGAGGTTTGGTTCCAAGGATGCGTCTTCTTATCTCGTCGAGGTTTTTGTTCAGTCCGAAAAAAAACTTGAAGATTCGTCTCTATTCCACGATGCTTCGGAATCTCCTGGCATCCTCTAGGCAGCTCCAAGCATGTTCCTAAAAAATATCAAGTTGCTGCCACTTTCGAGTAAGAAAATTGTAATATTGAGTTACTGTCTTTTCTTCTTGGTGCAGGTCGTGAAGGTTTGCTTCGATTTTGAAGATAGCGGAAGTGTTGTCACAAGTGGAGTAGAACTCACGAGCTGCGACCCAGATATCGTGCACAGTCTCATAAAGGAGGAAATTTTCGCCAATCTCAGTGGTCATTGAGTTCACCAACCAAGACATAACAAGATTATTCTCAACTTTCCATATCCGAGCATTTAGATCGTTCGTGGGAGGAGGTGAGAGATCTCCAGTGAGATATTCATCTCGGCCTTTCCCTCGGATGAACATCAATACCGAGGACGACCACTGAAAATAGTTATTGCCATTTAGTCGATGGCCAGTAACGAAAGATGGAGCCTGATCAGCCAGAGCATGCGGGTCAGGCATCGGAAGGTGAGAGCCCAAAAGAACTTTGGGCAGAGAAGGGCTCTGTTCATCCATTGCCTATTGAATGCAAGAGGGATGCTGAAGAATTTGGATCAAGCTTGCTTTGATACCATGAAGAACTTGAGAATAAGGAAAAACTTCTCTTTTCTTCCCACCCTCTACTTTTTATATTCATCGATAATCAATAACATTTTATAGATAAAGGAAGGAAGAAAAAGACAAAAGCTAACAAACATTCCTAGTGGAAGGAAAAAAAGCATAACCTGGCAGTAACTATTTTGTTATATTGCTAGGTTGTAAAAGACAGAAAAAGGAAAAATACAGAAAAATAATTCTACAAATATATTGTATGTAAATTAGGTTAAATGGCATTTGGGTAAAGTACACCCCACCCAATTAATTGTTTATTCTTTTTCCTACTTTATAAAACCTATAACTGCTGTTATATTTAATAAAATACACATTCAATCATTCTTAACATCCATTCAACATTAAATAGCTAATGGCTAAAGACAAATAGTAATAAAAAAATAATTTTTCAAATCTTGCTGCTCGTGCCCTAATGCTAGGAGAAAAAAAAAAAAAGGAATTTAGTGTTTGGAAGTGGAGAAAGACCAATATTTAGAAACTTTAAAAAATTAAGTTGGTGTCTTTTTTATGGAAAGCAAATTATTTCCACCACGTTCAGGGAACAAATTTGATACCTGCTTTGACAATTTTTAAATTGTCCAGATCTCTCCTTGCCATCAAACACAGGATAGGATTCTTTTGTTGGGTCTAGTACTATAATTTGCTGAATCCAAAACAACTATCTATGTTGAAAAGCAATCTCAAGTTCTAAAATGCATTTAGAGAAAGAAAGAAAGAAAAAGCAGCAAGATTGTGGAGCAAACAATTATCTTCTAAAGAGCAAATTTTTTAGAACACGAGGCAAACCATGAGCCATCTGATTCTTGTATCTTTTCAATGAAGCTAGCAGCCTTCTTGATGCATTTATCTATTTCCTCTTGCCTATGTCCGGGGTATAACTGTTTAAATGATGACAAACCTTGAATAGCAGCTGAAGTACACTCCACATAACTACAGAACAACCATAGTAAGAGCTAAAGGTCATTCAACAAATGAACAAAAGTTTGTAGCAGAGTTTAGCTCAAGGTGCTGATATCTTACGGGTAATCAATAACGATATCACCAAAAGTTTCAGCAGGGTTGATCATCTGATAATCAAAACAATAAAAGATTGTAGTTGGAAATGAGCATATTTGCAAGTATTTTGCATGTATAAAAGCATAAACATTACCTCCAACCATGCATACGATCTTGTTAGCTCATATGTCGCGAAGCCACCCTCAGCATTCTGCAAAAATACCAAGAAAATGAGAAAAAGTCCAACATGAATAAAAAATCACGTCTTGATGACAATCTTTTGAGAACATAATATTGAAGGCAATCTAGAGAAATCCATAATGTGCAGTGGCTAGATTTGTTAGTGAATTTTAAGCTTGTGATGGGAAGGACGGGCATGAGGGAGGTTATGCGGTAGGTGAGCCCTCCAATACCTGTCACCTTTAAGTTTTATCCTTGTTGATAGGCAACAACCCAGAAGGTAGGTATATGGCAGCAAGTCTATCCCCAACCCAGGATGGATGCTTTCAACCATCACTCACCACACCACACATCCAATAACTCATTGTAACTTTGGAACCTATTTACCCAACCATTTACCCACAAGAATAAAGAGAATGTACAATTACTAATTTAATATCCAGTAGCCCTACTAAAAAAATCTAGATCAATATTCAAAATAAAATATTGTTCAATATACTGAATATTAATGAATGTAATAAGTAGGTAATTTAGTATAAAATAAAAATACAAAATAATTTTTTTTTAATATACTATTTTAGTCGGTTGAGACAGATTTTTTAATCCACATCTGTCCCATATCCATTAAAAACTCAAGATGGATGAAGCAAATTACTGGTAACAATTCTAGTTCCTAGTTGGATAATGGTATTGCACATGAATATTCTAAGAAGATCTAAGGACTGGTAACAATTCTAATTCCTAGTTGGATAATGACAT